CCCACACACACACACACACACAGCAAGTAGTCATAAATATAGGTATCCAAGACTAAGTACAATTTTAAAGTTGCTAAGGAATTTATTTCTTCCCTTTTTTTTTTTTCAGTCAGGAAAGCACTCTGGAATGTAAGTATGTGACAACATTAAAGAGAAATCAAGCATTTGCTCTAAATTTTAATGAATCAAAATAGGCAATTACCTATAAACTCCAGAACTTCCACCAGTTGTGAGAAACTGGCAGTTTCATGCCTCAAATGAAGGCAATGAAGGAAAACTGTTCATCTCCTCAGAGTAGCTCTTTTTTGTTTTTCCTCTCTGTTTTTTAAGACAAAACCTTGCTGTGTAATTCAGGCTGAGCCAGGTGTGGTGGCACATGCCTATAGTACCAGCACTCAGGAGGCAGCAGGATCGCAGAGACCGCGAGGCCACCCTGGTCTAACAGTGAATTCGAGGACAGCTTGAACTCACTGTGCAGCCAAGTCTGGCCTCAAACTTGTGGCCACCCTCTTTCCTCAGCCTCCCAAGTGCTGGGATTATAGGTGTGTAATCACCATGTCAGGCCTCAGTTTAGCTCTTTCGTGATAAGACAAAAGTCATTTTTCTCCTGCTTTTAATTTGCTACTTTTGTCCTTTTCCTGACGTGCCAGTGTGCTCATATATCTGCAGCTATGCCACTGTATTACTCTCTTGGTTTGGTATGCTTTCTCCAACTTTACCTAGTTAATGCTCACCTCTCAAATCTCCTTCTCAAGACCAATACTTACCCACCCTCCAGTCCCCACATCCCCACTCTCCCTCCTACTCAAATTTCTGGTTTCAGTCTTTATTCTTTCCCTAAGTAATAAGCTTCTTGGTGTACATATCCCACCAGCTGGCTACATGGATGGTAATTCATCAACGAACATCCATTTTTTTTGGTGGTACAATACTGGGGATTGAAGCCAGGGTCTTCACACTGATACATCTCCAGCCCTGTTTTGTTTTAAGACAGGTTTCACCAAGTATCTTAAATGCCCAGGCTGGGAATGAACTTGTTATCCTCCTGCCCCTTCCAGAATGTGGGGATTACAGGAATGTGCCCAACCAAATATCACTTAGAGCCAGTATGTTTTTTAGTCAAGGCTCAGAGAATTTAAGTAACCTGATCAAGATTATACCAGTAAAAGCCAGAATTTGGAACATCTTGCTTCTCCAGTGCAAAGAATGCTACATTCACTACAGGTATTTTATATCACAACAACAACCCTGTTCCAAGCTTTCTCTCTGGTCCATGATCCTTTAGAAAGGGCTAGACTAGTTTCCTCAATGTAACTTCCTTGCCTTTTTCCAATCCCGCCCCACTTTTTGTACTGAGAATGAACCCAGGGCCTTACACACGCTAGGCAAGTGTCCTACCATGGACCTATAGCCCCAGAATCTAATTTTCTTGTAGGATGTGACTTTGCTTGCTAAGAGCCCTTCCAGTCCCACTACAAAGGCCATAGACAGCTCTGCTATTTTTAAGGAGTAGGGACACTCACCTTGGTTCACCTTATACAGGTCATTGAGGGTTTCCTTTCAAATCAAACCTTAGAATCACTTCACTTCTTGAAATAAGAGAGGAAAATGGCTAGGCATAGATCAGTTCAAACATTTCTACTGTGGGGAAAAATTTTTTTTCTACTTGTGGGAAGACTTTAAAAAATTAAATTTTAAGAAAAAAACTTGTGAATACAGTTCATATATGCTATCATTCTTCTCTGGAACAGTCAAGGGGAATAAGGAAGATTCAATTACTGGCACATTTTGTCCTTCTTGTCTCTGTTTCTCATTTTAATTTTAATACTTCCTGGTAACCTAATTGCAACAGTCCCAAGAGCTGTTTTTAATAGTATCAGACAGGCATCACTCTCCTCATGATTTTAGAAGATAATACAGCCATAGAAACATTTACTTACATTAAGAGTCTAAAGTCTCATTTAAATACACAGAAAAATGCCATTAAGTAGAAGGTGGCAAAGGTGTACTTCTTGGGTTCCTTTTAACTCTCTCAGGAAAGCACTAAAACGCCTGTGATGAAGCTTAATGGCTGGGTTAGTACAATGAGGAAGCTCAGGGTTAGAGACCTCTCTCTGGGGTCTGAGACAGTCGGAGATTCACATAATGACCAAGTATGAAGATTCTCTTAAAATATACATCATTAATTAGGCATTCTTACTCCTGGATAGGCACCTCCTATCTGCTTACTCACCAAGCTCTGAGCCAGTGGTGCTATGGCACGTGTGCCATAGCAGACTGAATAACTGAAAGCTCTAAAAGGTTTGTCATCACTGCTGTAAGTGATCCTTCAACAACTCCCTTGTACACATTCACCCACACAGAAGATACAGGTTGTTAAAATACATCTTGGAACCAAAAGCAAACAGACAGGTGCCTGAAATTCTTCTGACTGGGTGCCCCAATCCTGAGGGTCTCAGCCTGGCATGACAACAACCAACTATCTAAAACTACATACATAACACACAAGTCATACACAATGAATCCCCGCCAAGATCACCGAAGTGAAAATGCTTCAAAATGCTGAAAGCACTAAATAGACTGGGCAACATTTTGGGCCTATAGCAGCCAGGTGTGGTGGCACATGCCTATAATCCCAGCACTTTGGGAGGCAGGCAGGAGGACTGCCAAATCCAAGCCCAGCCTGGGCAACTTAAGTGACTTAACAAGACCTTGTCTCAAAATAAAAAGTGAAAAGGGCTGGGGATGTAGTTCAGTGCAAAGTCACTGGGTGTAATCCCTAGTACTGCCAAAAGAGTCCAGAGAATCCATGTTATTCAAAGCACTGAGGTGCAGGCCTGGCCAGAGGTATACACTCATATGTAAGAACAAATCTGTGTGGGAGTGAGAAAGCTGGAGAAGGCCTGCTCCACCAAGACTCTTTAATCTGTGGAGTGAGTTCTGATATCTTTCCTGTTGTGTTAAGATGTATAAAGCCACCTGGGTCCTCCCCAGTCTCTGGTCCCTGCTGTAAACCTCAGGTGCTTACTCTTTTTCTTACAGCCAAAATGAGGGGAAATGTAATAGCAGCTCTTACATGTTCAGGTGTAGTTCGGACCTTACTCCTTGTCCAAAGAAAACTGAGGACAACCAATGGAAAGATAAATATATAAACACATTTTCCTAATTTTAACTGTGTGCAAGACTGTACTATATAGGTTGTTTTGCTTTTCTGAAGCAAATGACTCCATCTTTTTGTGATGTGGGGCTGTCTCTCAACTCTCCCCATTTTGACCCCGAGGTGAATCCACTGCAAACTATCACTAACTTAATCTCTGTTTCTTTAACACATATGCAGTTTGTTAATGGTAGGGAAGAGTATTCAACCGCAATCATTACGGTACGTATGTGGCACTTTGTGGTTTACAAAACATTTTAACAAGCATCATTTTATTTAGTCTTCACAGCAGTCTGAAGAGAGCAACCAGAACAATTTGCATTTTACAGGAAAGAGAAGAGAAACTCAAGAGATGAAGAGATCTCCCCCACGTAAACAATAAGTGAAAGAGCCAGGATTTCTTATATTCAGTCCCATGCTTTGATACAAAAATACTCAGGACCCATCAGACTGTATGCACTTTATAACTCGGTAAAAAAACTAAAGACTCAAAAAAGTATTAAAATCTGTTTTCCTGATCTGCCCCCTTTTTATCACCTGAGTCCCACTACAGGGTTTGTGTTCATATATGGCTACTCATCCTGCACTTAGCAACCATCCCAACAGACATCCACTTTTTGAGATATACAGCTCTCACTCATAAGCTCATCAACCCTGATCTTTGGGACTTTTTTGATAACAGTAAGCCATAGAAAAATACTAATCTCTGAAATTTTTTTTAAAAAACCAGTTAACTAAATGTTTAGTTAGAAGGAAATGACTCGGTGATTTGAGTGTTCAAGTTTTACTTCATACTACTATAATTTATAAAATCTACAACAAAGAAGGGCTATTTCACATTCTGAATGCCTCTGCCTAATCAAAAATAAACTCTAAGATATTTATTTCTATTTCTCAACTGATCACAATGTTAGAAATATGGATTCATGTAAGCAGTGATGCACCTGTATGCTGATTTTTCTCTAGGTCATTGGTCTTTCTAATTATCTCTCCTTAATGGAAAAAACCAACAACTGTTGAAATAAATTTACAAAAGCTCTGGGAGCACAAAAAAGAGCAAGCTGGTGGAGAACTTGGTAGAAATTCAAAGAATATAAAGGACAACGAGTGAAAAGTACTTTTCCCCTAATATGTGGAATCTTAAAAAAAAAAAAAAAAAAAAAAAAAAAAAAAAAAAAAAAAAAAAAAAAAAAAAAAAAAAAAAAGACATGAAAGTAGCAAGAAGACCATTAGATAAGGGGAAAGAGAATAAGGGAGGAAGGAGAGGGGAATGTAAACACGAGGGGATGGCTATGACCAAAATATGTGCATGCAAGGAAATACCAATGCAAACCCTTTTGTTCTTTTTGTGGTACTGAGAATTAAATAGGGCCTTTATACGAATCCACACCCCCAGCCTTTTATTATTTTGAGACAGTCTTGCTAAATCACCCAGGCTGGGCTTGAACTTGTGTCCTCCCACTTCAGCCTCCCCAGAGTACTGGGATTATGGGCATGTACCACTACTTCTGCCTTGAAAGCCAGTTATTTTGTAAAATTAATAGGCACTAATGAAAATTAGGGGGAAAAGAAAAAGAATCAGTGAAACACTAACAGTGTATCTTCCCCACAAATCACCCAGTTCTCTAATTCCAATGAATGTAACTTTAAATGAGCAGACATTATTTTGCAGGACCTAAAACTAAAACCGAAAACCCAATGTCAAAGGAAGCACAAAATTTTACCTCTAATGCCAAGGCAGTCTTGTCATAAGCACAGGGCACTCTTTTCTGGATTGCTTTTGCAAAGACAGGTCCATTCTGTGTAGAGGGCAAAGGGTTGATCGCTGCTCCAGGAGTACTGGAAACTGCAGGTAGAGGAGTTGTGGTCTGAGGTTGAGCATAGGCATGAGCGGGTTCTGGGATGCCGTAACTGTTGGAATTCCTATTGCCATGCTTTCCGTGTGGTGAGGATCTCACAAGCTTTTCAACGTAAGGGACAGGAATCATTCCAACCCGCCCATCCTTGTTCCGGGCACTCCACCACTGTTCTTCGGGCTTCTCTATGATCACCAGGATCTCACCCTTTTTAAAGGGCAGGTCTTCAGCATCATTCCCAGGAAAATCATAGAGAGTCCGTACATATTCCAGATTTTCTTCTGCTGTGGGCAGGTTGGGTGCTGAGACAGATCCCATGGGTGGACTTGGATACCTTAAGAGAGAAAGAAAATTATTCTATGGGAAAATCTTATTCTATGCTAGTGTTTGTCAAACATAAACCAGTCCCCTCTACAACAATTTCTCTCTGTATTCACAGAAGTTGACAGTTTTCTCATATTGTACTTTCTGCAGTCTACACTGTAACGATATTCTGAACTATGCCAAACTGAATTATTTCAAACTGTGTGTCTTGTGCATACACACACACACACACACCCAATTGTTCTAAACTTGAATATATTTTTAAAATCTGAAGTAGGCTCAGTAGCTGCCTTCCTTTGGACCCTGTCACAACTATTGCACACTCTTCCTCTCAGGCCTAATCAAATGGTTTGCATCCTGTATACTTTCTTAGGCACATAAAAACGACAGACTTCTATCTCTGGGTCTTCAAAATATAAAAATAAAAAAAGGGCTTGTTTTCCAAATTTAAAAACAAACAAACAAACAAGCAACAACAAACCCCTACATTCTATTAGAGTGTAAGAATTATCTAGCCAGGTGTGGTGGTGCATGCCTGTAATCCCAGCACTCAGGAGGCTGAGGCAGGAAGGATCACAAGTTTGAGGTCAGCCTGGGCTACATAGTGAGTTCAGGACCTCAAAGCAAGACCCTGCCTTAAAAAACAAAACAAAACAAAAAACTCGGGCTGGGGATTTAGCTCAGTGGTTTGGTGGCCTGCCTTGCAAGGGCAAGACCCGAGTTCAATCCCTGGTACCCCCCCCAAAAAAAAACCACACACACACAAAAAAACAAAAAAACCTAAACACAATAACATCAAAAATCATCTACTAAAAGAATACCTGTAAAAGTTTCACTGCAATAATCACAGGCAAGAGCTCTCATGGGTACTGCTGCCTTCACTGTGGTTTTAGAACCAGTGTTTATTTGAGGAGTGACCCAGAGCATGCAATCCCCAGAGTCAGCTACAAAAGCAGAGTCCCAGATGTGGGGCTCAGTGGCAGAGCATGTACAAGGCCCTGGGTTCCACCCCTAGCACTGGATGCACACAAACACAAAGGCAGCATTAGCACTTGCTCTCCAGAAACATTCCATGTGCAAAAAGCAGTATAAATCTCTTTTCATCTAAAAAATGTTCTGAAAAGTTGCAAATACATTTAGTTTTGGAAAAAACAATTTTACCATTACCTGCCCTGAATTTCTCTGAAGCACAGAACCTATGCTAGATTAACCAACACTGGGTTTCATTCAGAGTCCTGTATATACCTGTGGCAGTTTCTTTATCTAGTATCACACCAAGGTGTTTCTCCACATTTCTGGTTCTTATCGTGATCATTTTCATGGCAAAGTAAGTCTATGAGCCTACTCAACAAAGCACCAATGGATATTTAGTTTTTCTAATTCTCCTCTATCTAAGCATTAGTATTATTAAACACTTTTGAGCATATTTCTTTCTTTCTTGGTGCTTGAGATCCAAACCACAGCCTCAAGAATGCTAAGCACATTCTCTACCACTAAGCTTATTACTCCAGTACTGGGCATATTTTCCCTACATTAGACTTTCTGTAAAGCTCAGGCTCGTAGAACTGCAATAAGATTAAAGAACACAAACGTTTTTATGGCCTTTTGTATATTTCATTGCTTTCCATACAGCAGCCTCCATCCTTTAAGAACACTTCCATCTCTCTTTATTTTTTGTTTTTTGAGACAGGGTCTTGCTATGTAGCCCAGGCTAGCCATGAACTCGTGTCAATCCTCCTGCTTCAGTCTCCTGAGTGCTAGGATTACAAGCATGAGTCACTATGCCTGCCAGTCTGTCTTACAAACTGCACAGCATCAGTACATCTAAAAAATGAATACCTGAAGTAGTAGGAGTAGCAACAGTAATAAAGAGTTAATGCCTGTTATGCCAAGCACCTTTACAGTCTATAAAGTTATTAAGTTAATCCTTACAACAATCCTGAAAGGTACATTCCATTATCCCAATTTTACAGATATGGAAGCCAAAGCAGAAATTACATTTGCTCCCCTGTGGTCTGGTTCTATAGTCCTTGCTCATTAGCTGTAAGCTAAACAGCTTTAGAGATAAACTCTGCCTCTTTCAGTTATGTGAATTTATGTCACAAGGCATATAAAACACTCACATCAATTCCTGAAGAATAAATTAGTGCACATGCATGCATAATCTTAAAGTATTTCCCTGTTCCTACTTCAAGAGCCACAGAGATTCTCTGAATAGTTTAGTGAATGCCCTATAAATTGCAGATACTTTATGAAGGGCATAATCAATTCTACATCAGAGCTCATTGTACGGTATTTTATTATAGTTTTTGTACAGTTATAAATAGTTCTTCAGGGCCAGGGATTTAGCACAGTGGTGCCACACCTGTCTTACAAGAGCAAGGTCCAGAGTTCGATTGCCAGTACCAGGAAAAAAAAAAAAAAAAAGTTCTTCAGCCTGGTGTGGTGGTGCGTGCCTATAATCTCAGCACTCAGGAAGCTAAGGCAGGAGGATCGCCATGAGTTGGAAGCCAGCCTGAATTACATACCAAGACCTTGTCTTAAAAAATCTAAATGAATGAATGTTCTTCAGCTACTCTGAAGACTGAAGTAGAAGGACTGCAAATTCAATGCAAGCCTGGGAAACTTAGCAAGACTCTAAAATAAAAAGAACGGGACATGTAGCTTACTGGTAGAGTACCTGCCTAGCATGCACAAGGCCCTGAGTTCAATCCACAGTACTGGAGGAAAAAGTTACTTCTACAACGCAGATCATGAAAAGATCACTATTACACTTCAGTGGAGATCAAAACTAATGAAACCAGATAGCCACTGGCCCTACTATTTACTAAGAATGTGGGGGCAAAAAAAGAGAGAATAAAACCAAGTTCTTACTCTCAAAAGACCAAAAATTTAGTAGAGGCAGAGTTGAAAGAGGAATGAGAACACAAAGTATAATCAATTTAAGTCATGACGTAAGTCACTAGGATCCAGGGGCACTTGAGGAAAGGATGAGTTCCCGTAAGGGTCAGGCGAACAGGGCAAGGAGGTAATGCACAGAAAGCTCCAAAGGCAGCCTCTCCCTCAAGAGCTGAAAGATTTTGCTGAAGATATGTTTATCTATTTGCTTCTGCATTAGAATTAAACAGCCTCAAAAGTGCAAATGCTCCTTTCCCCACTCCTCTCACAGCCCACTGCTGGGTCCCACAAACACAGGCCAGTTCTGCTGCTCAAGGCCAGGAAATTCTGTGAAGGGCCAGATGACATATATTTTAGGTTTTACAGGCCACACATGGTTTCTGTATTCTTAAAAAAATAAATAAACAAACCTTCAAAGATGTAGTAATCATTCTTTGCTCCATTACACCACAGAAAAATCATCTGTTGAGTCTAGACATGGCCTAGGGGCCATCTGGACCACTGTATGGGATTCAAACTAGGTCCTCTGTGTTGGCATTACATTCCCAGCCTCTTCCTCTTCCTTTTTTTTGGTGTGTGTGTGGGGGTACCTGGGGTTCAAACTTGGGACCTTGAGCTTGTGAGGCAGGCAGCAGAACCACTGAGCTAAATCCCTGGCCCACTTCCTTAAGATAAAAAACTTTGAGACAGGGTCTCACTAAATTGTCCAGGCTGGGCTTAAACGTTTCTTTTTCTTTCTTTTTTTTTTGGGGGGGGGGTTTTTGAGACAGGGTCTTGCTATGTAGTTGAGACTGACCTGGAACTCACTATGTAGCCTTGGCTGGTCTCGAACTCACAGTGATCCTCCTGCCTCAGCTTCCATCCAAAGTGCTGGGATTACAGCATTGCCACCATGCCTGGCTATACTGCATGCTTGTTTTTTTTTTGAGGTACTGGGGATAGAACTCAGCACCTTGAGCTTATGAGGCAGGTTCAGTGCCACTGAGCTAAATCCCCAGCCCACTGCATGCTTTTGTAAAAAAATATTTCATTAGAATACAGCTGAGAGCACTTATTTACTGATTTATTTTCCCACACATGGACGGTGTTAAGTAGCTAGACAGACTACATGGCCTACAAAGCCTTAAATATTTACTACTTAAACTAAAGTTTGCTGATCTTGGGCTAAAGGAGACAGAGGGTGCTTTTTAATAGTTTTGATTTTCTGGTGAGGAATACCTGTGTGTACATACTTGATAAAGATGGAAGGCAACTTGCACTCTCTCCACTACTACACTACTACTATAGAGACCTTGAGGCTCATTTCATGATTTGGCGCCAGCATATTACTAAATTTGACATCAAATCTCTCCAGCTATGTCCCTGACACAGAGTCAAAGTCCTCCACCCATCTTTCTCCCTTGGGACCCAGGTCAGCCCTAACGGTTCTCCTCCTATGCCTATTTGTGGCTGCTCTTAACCTCCTTCCACAGCTGCTCCTCCTCTGAGCATTTCTGGTACGTCTGTTCCTTCTGGGTGATTCCATGTATGCTTCAGGCTTAATTTCTGTGTAATTCAGCCCCAACTTCTAAAGAACAATCTCACTGGATTACTAAATAATACTCAGCTCCCTACAGTCTCTTAAAGAAAAAAAAAAAAAAAAAAAAAAAAAATTCTTCTCAGGCAGGAGGGCTGCTACGAGTTCGAGGCCAGCATAGAATACACAGTGAGTTGAAGGCCAGCCTCAAAAAACCCAAACAACAACAAATGAACCCCTCCTCACACTACTCCTTCCTCTGCTTTCAGAGGCCACTTAATGCTCTAGGACAGCGGAGGTAAACCTATGGTATGTGTGCCACAGCAGGCTGTTTGTATAGCAGAAAGCTCTGAAAGGTTCACCATCACTGCTCTAGGAAGTCAAAGTCCTCCCTCTCCCCTCACCTTCTACATGCAGTATCCCAGAAAGGTTGTCAGTTCCCACTTTCATATTCCCAATGCATCTGAGTTCAGCTCAGCTTCTCATGGTGCACTCTCTACACTGTACCACCCTGACAGGTTTCTAAAAGCGAAACTGACCCTCAGCCGACAAAGAAAAAAGTGAAACTGATCATGACAAATATTTTTTAGGAACTT